TGTGGAATGAACCCCCAGATGACAGTGATTAATTAAAACCAGTCATCCTGAAGCCATCCAGAATTGGGCTCTTTACAGAAAAGAGGAACTCACATTGCCACTTGTGCAATGGCACTTGAGGCTCAACTCTTTCAATAATATGAATATTAGAAATTAATTTTGTAACTAGTTATATCTTGAGGGGGAAAAAAATGGTTATTGGACAGCACTGGGGATTCTTCCTTGGGGTCAGAGGAGTTATTTCAGTTTAAGCAACCTCAATGCAAAACAAACATGGAATTTGAAGAGAAGCGTGTTTGTGCCTACCTCACACGTTACACGTGTGTTCGTTTCAAGTTTTATCTCTTACAACTTTTCTATGATTATGGGGAGAGGGAGTGACCTGCAGAGGAAAATCTGATTACACAAGAAAGCATTGAGGAGAGCTTTTAGTTTATTTATAATGCTTTTCACAAGTTCTGGAAGTATTCACAGTTTTGGCGTGACAACACAATTTCTCCTAAATTTTGCATCATCCAAGTGTGGCCAAATCTGTATTTTTTTTCTTTTTTTTTTTTTATTCGTTTGGTGTTCGTGTCTTTGGCTCTAGTGCATCTGACATTTTGCATCAAATACCAAAAGAAGACGACAGATATATTTTTCAGCATTATATACATAAAAATAACAGCCGTCTAAGCCATAAATAAATTCATATTGGGATCTTCTCTACTTCAAGTCAGAGATAAGTTGTCTAGAAAAATCTGGTTAAGTGAAATCATTTTAGGAGAAAAGCAAATTAAACTCACATGGTAGAAAAATGTCAGTGGGAAATAGTTTTTCGGTATTTATTTAGATGATGGGTTTGTTGGGGTTTTTTTTATTTTAAAAATATGTCACATTAAAACAGGAAATTGGACTAATTCTTCATTGCTTTCAAGCATGCGTATGGAATGACTGTCTTTTGGCTGATACAAAAAGGAGATGAACTAGACTCCGCAGAGATGAAAATCCTTTATGACTTGACCTAGAGAGCCAGATTTTATCCAGTAATTCCTATCCTCCGTAGACGTGGCAGCCGCAAATTCCCCAGGGATATCGTTGCTGTGCACACGAGTGAAAAATAACTGTGCGATGCCATCAGATCACAGGAGCAGTATTTCTTATTTGCTTTGGACTGATATGAGTCATTGCGCTGGAAGCGAATGAGGAATCGAGCACAAAAATGGGATTCAGACAAATCCTTCCTCGTTTGATAAATCAAATCACTATGTTCTTTTTATGAGCGGTTAAATTATGTCTTCCTTTGTATCGTTTTGTTCTGAAATTACTGTAATAAATCAGTCTTTGTGTAACACTAACTCATTCATTCAATTTATTTCGTTTTGAAGCATGCAATGGAATTTCAGAGGGAAAATAAGAGGTCACTTAGATTTAAAAATTTAAACTTTGAGCTTCAAAAGTCTACTGTGGATTCCAGTTTAAGAGAGAAATTAAGTGTGCTTTCACTGTCCTAGCAAAGAAGATCTAGCAGGCACAGCTCCATGCTAGTACGCACTGGTGCACCGAGCAGCAGCTAGTAAAATACACATATACATTTAGGACCCTGTTTAGCAGAAGGAACCCACCCGACTGTCCCAAGTATTCAAGCGACTCGGCGTGACAAGTCTTCTCAGTGTTTTGTACCGTGCTTTGTATCAGGAGAGAGCTCTGGAGTCCCTTCCTGTTCCACATGGGACTTATCTCCTGCAGCTGGTTGCGAAAGCCCAGGTTTCATCCAGACTCCTTGCTCTTTATTCCAACTGGAAGTGGTGACAGTGGGAACTGGGGCTTCCAGACATCTGAACGTGGGGATGTTTTCTCAGCAGGCTTTTCTGCAACCACATCCAACGTTTTACCACACCACCACACCTTCCAACACAGCTTTTTGCCCATCCCGGGGGCTTTTCGGAGCCATATTTCTTCCTCCTCCTTGGCCAGCCGAAGGATGCCCTCCCCTGCTGCATCCCAGCCTGGCCTTTCTCCCGAAAAAACCCAATTTGTTGTGCCAAGCCCCGTCCAGAATCGCAGCGTATATTCCTTTGTGCTCCTTTTTCTTTAGCACTGTTTCTGGCAGGGAGTTAGTCCAACTGGACTACGCGGTATTAGCAGCATGTAAAGTAATAAATTAGGGAGCGGGAGGGTGCGGGTTAAGGTGAGCTCCCCCAGAGCCAGGGATGCTTCTGCAACCTTCTGGGTGGGAGCAGCTGGGATGCCCGTGAGTGCTCTGTGCTGAAGGAGGCCCTAATGCAAAAATCAGCATGCCATGTGCAGACTGAGTTTGGATGGAAAGGAAAGAGAGGGAATCCTATCCTATCGCTTCCTAACCCGTTCCTGTAATTTCAAGGTAATGCTAATCCGTTAGATGTAACATACTAATAGGTCTATTAAGTACAAAAAGAGGGAGATCCGTTCCTATTTCTATTCCGGTTGTTAGTTAGGTCATCAATGGTTAAATCAAATCCATGGAATTTACGTCCTGGAAAATATAAAAAC